AACAAAGAAGCTCTTTTAATGCTTCCAAAAACTAACAATAAGTACTATTACCAGGTCAACAACACTGATTATCATGAGAACTGTGGTATGGGGGGCGGGGGTAGAAAAAGGAAGGAAGTGAATTGTTATGTTTTGAAGTAAAACACATCTTCCCGAAGTAGAGCTGCATTGTATGAACACAGGAACATATGGCAATACTCAAGGTCACTCATGCAACAGCCAGTGAAGGTGGAAGTATTGCACAAGGCAATTATACAACCTTTTCCCTGAAGTCAGCCACAAGCGATAATAAAGGTTTTGTTCAGAAATCCTTGCTACCAAGTTTCACGGAACTCTCTCATTTATCTGTACTTTAAGATGTCTCAAAAGCATTTCAGTCCCTATATTTTTCAAAATTAAAAGATTCTAGCACACAAATGAATAATAATATTGATAAATATCAGCCAAAGGACATGTTTTAGAATTTATAAGTTCCTATTTTTGTTTAATCTGTAAGGTTCGAATAAATATATGCATATTAAGTACTAAATAAAAAGAATATATCAAATACTATGGTGGGACTATGGATGCTTTTTATCTTTTCTTATATGTATTGAATTTTTAAATATCTACAACTAATTACCATACGTTCTACAATTAATATAATGGCATTTATTATCAAGTTGTTAACGGCGCTTGCAAATCAAGAACGACGTTAATGGAAACAATTCTGATTCAGCATGGCTACGCTTCTACATGCTGTTATAAAAATACTGCCCCTCAAGTATTCAAGAAACAGACCTTGTTCTCGCTGCCTTTTGTGGACTGAGATGCCTCCCAGACTTAAAACTGATCAATTTTTTGTTTCTTTAGTTTTAAAAGCTTTTCATTGTGATCTGGGTGAACATTTACAGAGCAAATCAGTTATCCATTCAAACAATGCATATGCATCTTGTTTCATGCCTTTGATTTCATCGATGGACACAGTGGCTGCTCCAATGGATTCAAACAAGGCAACCATGAGGGCATGGCCCAGAACCGGCAGGGCTTCACTCTGTTGTTGCACATTGGGTTATGAACGAGAGCCAAGCGGACAGCGTCAAGGGGCAGCAACATTGATTGTAGTCCTCAAATGTAACAGCGCTCTACCACCTCCTCCCTGTGCTTCTCGTGTCCATTCATCGTTCCTCCCCCTCCCGTCCTGC